TAAAGGATCCTTAAGCAAAGATAACTTTTGCGTGGGTCCAAGTGCATGTCCACAGGGCCCGTGCTAAGCGTGCTCCCAGATACTGTCAAGCTCTGGGCCCCTCCCTCTACACAAGCTCTGGCCTCTTTGTCTAAAATGGGAGTTCCTTTCCTCCTGATGAACTTTTAGGTGTTGACATACCCCTGGGGATTTGCACAGAGTTTCTAATTCCTCAAAGCAGGTGGGTCAGGCCATCCCTGCTTTCATTCTTTCCAGGCTGCGGGTGCTGGAAAAGAGGTGTTTTCCTTCTCAGTTACTGTTGTGAAAACACAACGGATCCTGCGATTCCTGACTGTAATGTCCGAGGTGGCTGGTAGAGGGGGCGTTACTCCTCAGGAACCGGCTCTGGCCTCCGCTGGGCTGTCGAGTGGCCTCCCCGTTCCTCCTATTCTCCTGCTGGTCTCTACCTGGGTATGGCAGCAGGGACAGGCCGTTGCCTGCCACGTGGGGCTGCCCACCCCCTTCTTGGTAAGCCGCATAGACGCCGGAGCTGATCAGGTGTCCTCGAGCTCACGGGGAAGGATGGTCACGAGGGCCTAGGGAAGGAAAGGGCATGACTGAGGGCGCTGTCGCCAGGGTCCTGGGCCTGGCCCTCCCCTCTCCCTCCACACCCGCACCTGCTGGCTTCCCCCATGCCTAGCCCGGCGCAGGCTGGACTTGGGAAGTGAGGGAGGACCCCTCTGTGGGCGAGTGCCTTTTATGAAAAAGACAAACACATTTAATAAGAATGAAACCCCCCAATGGTCCCAGCTCCTATCAGAAGCGTCCCCTTTTCTAAATGGTCACAGGCATCTCCTTTGATCACACACACACACACAAAATTACGAATTAGCTGGGCGTGGTGGCACACTGGTAGTCCCAGCTAGTCAGGACGCTGACGTGGCGTGGGAGTGGGAGGGGTGGTGGGGTGCTGTGGGGTGGGGAGGCAGTGCAGTGCAGCAGACCAGGGTGTGGGAGGGTGGGGGGGCAGAGGTGGGTGTATATGTGCTGGGTGGGGGAAATCACTTGAGCAGGAATTCAAACTTACAGTGAGCTGTGATCAAGCCGCTTGAGTTCTTACAGCACAGCTTGCCTTATGGACTTCATAATGGCCCTAGGGCCCCAGGGATATCACCCACAGGGTTTGAGGACCCTTCCCTCCCTCCCCTCTCTCCTCCCTCCTCCCTCCCTCCCTTCGTTCTTTCCTCCCTTCCCTTCCCTTCTCAGTTGCGCCCCCTACTCAGTGCCCAACCCTGGGCTCCCTGCCTGGAGGAGTGGGCAGAATGATGGGAAGGCAGGCGAGTGATGGGTCTGTGCTGCCACAGAGGCCAGCCATGGGCTGTGGGGCCCTGCAGGCAGACAGCAGGGGCAGGAAGCAGGCCTTCTTTCTGGGAGACAGGAGTAGGCTGGGGAGGGCTGCCTGCCGCGCCCCTCTCAGTCCAGGCCCTGCAGCTCCTTGGGGTTCAAACATCAAACTTCTTTCTTTTGGTAGCTGAGGACAGGTGTGGAGGCCTCAGAACCCCGAGTTCAAGTCTGATCTCAGCCACTTGCCTGCTGTGGTAGGACAGTTGCCTCTCAGTGACTCAACTTTCCCAGCCACAAGATGGGTCCAGGAAGAGCTGCTCGGGGAGCAGAGGGTCGGGAAGAATGGGGTGAAGAAATACCTGTCTGATTGTCCGCAGCTCCTGCTGGCAATCCTTCTCACCTGCTTGGTCTCCAGTCAGGAAGGGAGAGGTTCCTGGGGTTCACGCCTCAGCTTGAGGTCTGACCCTATCCTCGGAGGAGGCCCCGCATTCGTCCCCCAGCTTGGTGCCCATGCCTGCCCTGGCATGGAGCCACCCTTTCTCAGGAAGGCCAAGTTACTAAAACAGATAAATCAATCTGTCAAGAAGCCTTGGAGAAATAATCTCTTAACTCGCCCAGCCAAGAAGCTCAAAAGGCGAATTGTTCCCAGAGATGAAGCAGGAAACAACAGACACCTTCTTCCCTGCCCTGTCCTCCTTCCCGTTCCCCTGGAGAGCACCTGTAAGCTCAGGGCCAGCCCAGGGACAGCCATGGCTGCCCCTCGCTGGCTCCGGAGGTGGCACCCAGTTCCAGAGCCTTGTCTGGGGAAGGAAGGGGCTAAGGGCCACTGCTTGGCTCTGGTCCCAGACCCGACTGGGAGACCTTCTTAAAAACTCAGCCTCCTGATCCA